GGGCAAAAATTCAAGTGTTTATTTTTACAATATTATTTACACCCTACAATGCCATTCAAAACAGCCCAAACAACCATGTTGAAAACTCACGCGCGAATGAGAGAGAGAAACAGCTGATCAGCAGCACGTGTATGCAGCCAATCAGCAAGAAGGAGAAACTAAAGCTGTCTATGACCTACAAAAACCCGGTTTACCGAGCATTCGTTTTTATGACGTTATGACGCTAGCCCGGTATACCGGCATACGATGCGATAGGGTTAAGAGCCTAACCCGCGAATATGCGGGGCCGTGAATGGGGAACCGCGAACAGGTGAGTGTATACTGTATTCTTATTCCTTGTCTTTTTATTACCTGATGTATCCACTATGGGCAACATATCTGAATTTATGTAAGTACATTTTCCTCATGTGCAATTATATTTCTGCAGTTCATATCTTTTATTAAGTAATGTTCCATCCTTAGGCATCTGCTTTATTTACAAATCAAAAAATATCTGTGATAGAGCCTTAAGGTAAGAACTTGCTTAGTAAAACTAGTGACTTTGTGTAACTAATAATAAAGAAGTTTGGTGTTATTCTTATTGTAGGTTTTATTTTTCTACTGTCTCACTAATTTTGTTGTGTATTTCATTTCCATCTAAATTAATAGTCATATCCACATGCACATATAAAAGAATATGATTTGATTATATGTTTTTAAACCTGGCAAAAAGTTTTATTAAAAAATGATACTAAATTTTAATGGTAAAGTTTAAGTGTAGGATTAGTTAAAAAAATCAATTTTGTCCTCTAAAAGTATTTATTCCTGATTTGTCATTTTGTTTTTGTTTTGCCTTTAGAAACAAAAGATAGATCGAAAACACTCCCGCAATAAGAGAGAGAGGAGGTCCTCTTCACAAACACAAACAAGTACACTTGGTACTGTAATGTTATATAGTGTTCTTGGGTTGATACCTATAAGTCCTGCCTTAGCACAGCATTATGTGTAAGTATATGAACTATAAAATATACTTTCTTTGGTTATAAAGAATGTTCTTTAAATTATTACAGTACTTGTGATATCTAGATGTAGAGTACAAGGAATTTGTTGTCAGAATTAAAATCATCAGTGAGTTAATATGTTTTTAACATGGTATTAAACCTAAATGAAGCTAAATTGTGTTATGAATCTATAAAATCTACAAGATATTTGATATTTATACTCCCATGTCTTTGTCTAGTAAGAGTTAGGAGTTGGTTAAAATTATTGTACTGTGTCTATACTGTGTAGTACAATTTTATATTTTTATTCGATTTTGATACATGAAGCTTTGTATTAATAGTGTACTTTTTCTCCAAGTCAGTGAAGAGTTTTAATGGAAGTCTATCATTGGGTGGGCTCATTTTAGATTATTCTGCAATAGTAATGCAAAGCCCAGTCCACTTAACAATGAGTTATTTCTTCAATAATGTTATATACAGGCTCTGTTCACTGGCAGGCCTAACTTCACAAACAACATTTCAACAAATATTCTGAATACTAATGGTATACCTAACTTACAAATATAACTTATTTGTTAAATTCCCTCTCTAACACTCACTAATTTATTGATAACAAATTTATTGACTAACTCACTAGCTAATCATTTGCTGATCAACTGACTGAATGACTGACTCACTATTCCTGGTGTTTAAATATTGATAAAACTTTTCCAACAAGGCTTTAGAAAATTTGAGTAACTCATTGTGTGATGTTAATTCTAGAACTTCGGAAGTTTCTAGATGTCACGTGCTATCACTATATCATGACAAAACCCAGTCTTGTGACCAATATAAAACTCTCTGCAACAGTGTCTTCTCCCTGTATTATGAAGTTAGTCCTTTGAATAATTTCAGTACACAAATAAAACAGTACACTAAACTCTTGAAAAAAGAAGAGTTAGAGGGGATCTGATTGAGGTGTTTGAGGTTGTAAAGGAAATTGATAGTGTTGATGCATCACCTTTTTTGATACTTAACAGTGAGAATAGTAGTTCTAGGGGACACAAATATAAATCTTCGTAAGGTAGGAGTCATTTTCAGCTGAGACAGTTTTATTTTTCTAACATTGTGGTTGGCCTTTGGAATGGGTTGCCTTTGGATGCTGTGGAGGCAGTAAACATAAGTGAGTTTGATAACTATATGAACGATAAGGGCTGGCTTTAAGATTTTTCTTAATTTCATTATTTATTAGTTTAGAGGATGAGACAGCCGTGATGGACCACTAATTCCCGTGTTGTCCCTAAACATTGTCATGTTATATGTTAAAATTCCATAATTAGCAATATGGTCATTATTTACAATTAATAAAAATTAAAGTTCATGAACAGACATTATATTCACTATATCATGAATTATATGTATCGAATAAAGTACAGTTGTAAATCTGACTAACAAAACAAAGTCTTTGTCATCTTATTTATTGTCTAAACTGTTCACCAGATCACTCTGGTTATTTTCTCTCTTATGAAGATGAGTTGATCTTTTGTCCTTTATTTACACTTGCTGTCCTTTTACTGGGGGTAGTACTCTCTAGGTAGATGGTCATGTGAATCCATTGATGGTTGTATTCTTGTTGATCTCCTGGAAGTAGTCTCAACAGGAATCCAGGGCTCTCCAGCAGGTCAACTAATTTCTTGTAAAGTTTCCACTGAAATTAAGCAATTGGCTATCCTCCTATTTGATGTCCTTCCAAAAATGATCACAACAGTCAACCTTTGGCTTGGACCACCTTTTCTACTGGATTCTCTGTGTTACACTCCACATCAGCTATATTCATTACCATGTGCCTCCATCTTTGTTATTAGTTAAAGTACAACCTCAGGTTGTGTAATTGTCTTATAGTGCATGGGGATTGTCATAAACTGTGAAGCTATTTAAAATGAGTCTAACCTCAAATCCATGTTGTCATATGAAGTCAGTTTCTAAATTCCACTCTTCCTTGATTTCAATTACCATTTTATCATGTGGTCTAGATAAACTTCCCACAGTGACTGTCTTCTTACTGGAACTTTATGTTCACTTGCTGTTTACATCGTTCATCTTTGTTCTACATTTCTGAAGGCAATTTCCTACCCTTCATTACCAGGTTAATCAAAGAATTGTTGCTGTAAAACCAGTGATGATTGACAAACAACAAAACTTCCTATCAGTAAATTCATTGCCTTCTGGAATGGTTTCACTACATAATACACTATTATTCCTACTGGGCCAAATGAAGTATTCTTATCCTCAAAAAATATTGTTTGATTTCACTATCCATGTTTTCCACTCTTATAACAACTTCCTTCTCCTATCATCCTTTGGGAGCAGTTTCTAACACTATGTCATAGTAAGTTAGAGTTGCAACACCTTCTGTTCAGTGGTTTATTACCCCTACCATGATTAAACAGCCCTCTAATTAAACCCTTTTTGAGCTACAATTAAAACATTGTCATGTGATTTACTCCTTCCATTCTGAGTTAACAGTTGTGTGATCAGTTCTTCTAGATGACCCTGTAACTTCTGGGTAATGCCTTTTATTGTTTATATGGATTCAAGTTTTGTGTTCAACTGGAGAGCTTTGTTTATAGATATACATCTACTTTACTTTGACCTAATTTACATTTCCTTATCCACCATAGTATCTATGAATTGGTTATGTGCCACGAATCCATCATTCATATGGGGCATCTGGTTCAGATAGTTGGACGAGCTTTTCCACATTTTTCACAAATTTGACTAAGTGTTTTATCCTTCCTCCTTTCCCTACTTCTAAACTTGGCTTTGGAAACTTCCTTCTGATGTGTCACTCAACCTCTTTGATAAGGCAACCACCAATGATTGATAGTTGTTATAGCTATCAGTTGGAAAATGGTTTAATGTTGTTATGGCTGGCCTTTTTAAATGGGAAGTGAAATAAATAGTTTGTTCACTTTTCCATTTGTTCATTTTGGAAATGATTTTGAACTGATTTTGATGTGTGTCTCCTGTGGTACCTTTCCATCATAGTCTGTTGGTTTCTTGATTAGCTGGTGTTGTTAAACCAGTTTACTAAATTATGGAATTGGAGTAATTAATGACATAGTTGGAATAGTCCAGGAAGGTCTGCTGTTATAGGTGGAACACCAGCATTAATGGTAGCAGGTGTAGACTCTGATTTTCTTATTCCCTATTTTATAGTAAAAGATGTTAGAGGATGGAATTCTTGGGTGGATGCAGTGAAAGATGTGGCTGTGTTTGATCCTTTCACATTCCAATTCTTTTTTTACAGACTTTTTATTCTATCACTAATGCTCTTTTCTGCCTTATTGATTTTACTGTTTTAATCTTTCTGCATTTTGTTAATGCTTTTTTGTACTTTGTCAGTTTTGTCATTACTGTCTTTCTGCATTTCATAGATCTCTCTATTTTGTACTGTTTAAATTTTCTCTCTTTCTTTTAATTCCTCTTAAATTTCTACCTATTATTTCTTGATCATCATTTAGTTTTCTTGTTTTGTTCTTTGTTCTCCATCTGTAAATTTGTTCTTTTTTCTCCATCTTCTTTAATTTTGTTCGTTGTTCTCTATCTTCTGTAAATTTGTTCTTGTTCTTTTACTATTTTGTCTCCTTCTTCATGGTGTTTTTTTTTCTTTCTTCTCAGCCTTCTTTTAATTTTCTGTATTTCTTCTAGATCTTCCTTTAATACTGTGTCTTTCTTCTTGCTATTCTTTTTTTTCTTTCATCATTTCAAACAAATGTTCAAGCACATGATGTCATCTCTATGTTGGTCTTGATTTTTTTTAATTTTTAAAACTAAATTAGACTAAGTTTCTAATTACTAAATAATGAAGAAACTAACCACTCGCTGACAAACTATCAAATTCACTGTTCAGCCGATTGAATGACTAACTCACTCACCCACATCTTTAAATATTGTTACACAATTTTCCCCCAAGCTTTTAGAAAAGGCCTGGCATGTCCAGGTGGTTAGAGCGCTCGACTCGTAATCTGAGGGTTACGGGTTCGATTCCCTGTCCCACCAAACGTGCTCGCCCTTTCAGCTGTGGGGATGTTATAATAATGATCAATCCCACTATTTGTTGGTAAAAGAGTAGCTTAAGAGTTGGTGGTGGCTGATGATGACTAGCTGCCTTCCCTCTAGTCTTTCATTGCTAAATTAGGGATAGCTTGTGCCAGATAGCCCTTGTGTAGCTTTGCACAAAATTATAAAACAAACAAACAAAACAAACTTTTAGAAAGTTCAAGATATTTATCCTACAATGTAAATTTTGCAACTTGGGAAACTTCCAGGCATCACATATCCTCACAACATCATGCAAAAAAAAACCTTTTTAGTGAACAATACAAAACTTTTAAATTAAAACAATAAAGTCATAATGTATAACAGAAGTTTATACCTGTGTAGTTAAGATGTTTTTCTATTTTAATCAAACTTGTAAAATCAATATATATATATATATATATATATATATATGTGTGTGTGTGT